AGAGTGAGAGAAAGAGAGAGAAGGAAGAGAAAGAGAGAACGAAAGAGAGAGAGAGAAAGAGAAAGAGCGAGAGAAACGGACTGGTGGTACCCGGCGAGGGGAGGAAGCGCGGCGCGAGCGTGAGGATTGCTAAGTGGGAAGGATGGTAAAAGGGCGAAAAGATAGAGAAAGAGAGAGAACGGATAGGTAGTTTGGCAGTAGGCTGATGGTAGAGACACGGCACGTCTAATATTAACAAACAAAAAAAATAATTAAAAAAAGTAAAGTATAAAATATCATAAACGCGAAAAGTACAGTAGTGGTTTACTATTGGCTGACACGTAGTGTGAATGCTGACATAGGAGAAGCATGCTGGCGAAGGAGAGCTTTTGTCTATTTTCTGTGACGGGTGCGGAAGAGAGAAAGAGAGAAAGAGAGAGAGAGAAAGAGAGAGAATGAGAAAAAGAGAGAGCAAGAGAGGGTGATGGTTACGAATGCGTCGCGCGACTCGCGGAACACGCGGGAGCGGGAGGAGAGAATGAGTTTGGGAGCGCATGCACGTGTCAAATCGGCTTGTCTGGGGTGTGTTGGGAGAAGTAACGAGGAGATGAGGCTTACTTTCCGCGCGATTTCGGCCGCGACACGCGGGTTAAAGCTCGGATCATTGGTATAAATACGGATCGTATCATCATCCAATCGCGAATCCGACGTTTTACCCTTATTCTTGTTTTCGCGTTCAACGGTACATGGAATAAAAACGGTATTGCATCTCTTTGCCCGACTGCAACAAAATTCGCCGTACAGCTGTCGTTGCGCGTGGTCTCTGCATTGTCTCTTGGCAACATTTCGTTATCGCGTCTGTATCTCCGTGTAACTACTTCGTGCCGTAGACGTTTACGTTCTCCGTGTACGTTGGTTTGAGTTTGCTTTCATGCCCGCGCGACCTACGTATAAAGAAGCACACAGTGCGGATAGGGTGCGGTGAAAGAAGCGAAAGAGGAAACACGATACTGCTAATCGGGGTGGGAACGGGAGAGAGGCGCGGGAAAAAGTGAGATTGCGGGAGGAAATTGGAAGAGAGAGGACGGGGCAAGGTTGCGGAGAAAGATTAGAAGAGAAGTACGTGACGGGGCGAGAGAGGGAACTTTACCGAGTGAGAGAGAGCGAGAGAATGCGGAGGAACGATTGTAGATTCGGAAAGTCACTTAGCCAGCAGACTGCTGTTCATAGTGCCCTGTTATAGTGGGTTCCCTAGGCAGAGTGGCAGAGACGCGGTTTAAAAAAAAAAGAAAGAGAGAAAAAAGAAAGAAAAGAAAGAGAAGTAGAGAAAAAGAAGAAAAGATAAAAGAACGGAGCAAAAATGTGAGAAAGTCTCAGAAGGCTAGCCAGAGAAAAGGCAGGCGTGCAGGATGCAGTTAGCAACTGATCCCATTTACGATACCACCCAAGGTGCATGCATCCAAACGCGAACACGCGAGCATCGCGACGACAACACTCGTATACGAGTGCTCGCATCGAGAGTCAACGTCGCGGGGAATCCTGTTGCAAAACTGTGTATCGACGGCGACGACGACGACAAAGACGACGACAGAAACGACCAGGAGATATGGATTCGTAGCCGTGAGCGTGAACATTTGTAGTAGCTCGAGTTCCTCGTCGAGAGGAAGCGCATCGCACGATCGTCTCGTCGAGGACGAGCGCGCGATTCGTGCGACTCTTCTCTCTCTCGGCGACGTAGCCGACAACGCGGAGCGCTCAATCCTCGCGGCGTTTCTTTTTTTTTTTTTTTATTACCGCCTCGTCACGTCACACGTGCTCGAACGGTCTAACGTCTAATGGCGCTTCCCAGCGCTCGTGATTGTCTCTCGAGTCTTCGCGTCGCGCCGGAAGGAAAGCAAAGAGGACTGCTCGTCGTGTGACTTTTTGTGATTCCCGAGTCCTCGAGAACCACGATCGTCCTCGACGAGGTTCTCGTCCAAGCATAGGTCCCGGGTCCCCGTGGAGAATCTTTGAAACGCGACCGATATCGGAACAAGGACGAGAGAGACAGAGAAAGTTGATAAACAAAAGGAAGAAGAAAAAGAGAATAGCGATATGGAAGTGTAAGAAAGAGATAGAGAAATTGTCCGGAAACGAGGCACTCCGCCCTCTGCCCACGGGACCCTAATCTATTTTTCAGAATACGCTATTGTGATTATTACTATATGATAACAATTTAAAAAACTAAAACAACAAAAATACCTTGTATCATTGTTTATTATACGGATTCCGACGATTATATTATTTATAATGTTAATAATCTATATTAACGATAATTAGCGCATTATACCATTATTATATTTAGTACTTTAGAGAGTGAGGCTGCTACTATATTCATGAATTAAGTACTAAAGGATTAAGTGATTCATCCTTTTTTAGACTTTACACATAAATATACATATGCATATATATAAATATACATAAACATGACTAAACGTACTCTTCTCACACGTTACTGCGTTCGTATCGATAATTTGTGCGTTTCGTTTCGGATGTTCGATCACCTTTCCTTTCTGGGCGCTACTCAGTCGACGTTTCTGCCTTCGTTAAAATCCGTTTGCATTTCTCGACGACTACGTTATTTTATATATCATACTAGGTATAGACTGTACCATGAAATATTAAGTAAAAATAAATTTGATTAGGTAATAACGCCACGTCTTCTGTATGCAGTGTCCTCTTTCCCAGAAAATATCATCTCACATTTACTTTTTTTTTCTTTCTTCGTTTTTTATTAATAAATCATATGCATACTTTTCATTTAATTTTATATCATCATTCATTAATGTTTGTACTTTAATTCTGAAAAATCACATTCACATCGGTGCATTCATTTGGCAGAAGAGTACAAAGTTCGAGTCGAAGACCCTCGAAGCGATGTTGCGTCCCGACATAACGTGGATTCTTGCTTTTTTCTATCAATTGGAAGTGCTTTCACCGGCTAAAAGTACAAGCTTTAACGAACAGTTAACGCCAAACAGTTGTGTAATGTGAGAAATATAATTATTTAGCGACATTTAGTAAAGTAGAAGTCTTTAGAAGTTTTGCTTAGCAAGGTAGAGCTCTGTTTTACCCACCGCTGGTAAATAAAATCGATATTTTTATAAACTGTAGCGCAAAATAAATATTTGTATATCAGAAAGAAGCATGAAGATGCCACCAGCCTGATTTCAATGGCCAGAGCTAGGCATATTTTCGAGACGCCATCTCAAAGTGAGCCTTTACTACGTTCGTTACGCGCATTTTCGCGGTGGTAACGATAAAATGCCCTTAGTTCGTGCCCGTTGTACTTCCGTACAATGACAGTAAGTTACAAAAGAATAGACATCCAATCGTTTTATTCTTGTCTCACCACTGATAAGCGGATGCGCGACGTAGACACGAAACAAGCTAGCGGCGATATTATTGTAAAACTAGATCATCAGTCTCGTCTTTCTCGCGCTGCGTTCTGCGTAATTTTGCAAGGAAAAAAAGATTTAGAAACTGGATAATATAAAACAATAAATAAATATACAAGCTTAAATATGCCGCTTATATTTTTTGTTTATTTCTCGGCAACCACAAAAGATATCGATGTGATTCAAAGAAAACAAAGTTCTGACAAAACAAAGTTCTGATTTTGACTCTACATCGAAAAATACATCGGAAACATATATCTGCACTTTCAAATAAAAAAAATTAAAATTGCGTGATAAAAGGGGTAGTTTTTGTAATTTTATAGGGGTTGTTTTCAGGTTTATTGTATTTTTGACATCAGATTTGGATTCTACGTCGAAAAATACATCGGAAACGCATATTTACACTTACAAATTGATGTGAAAGAAGTATTTTTTTCGAATTTGAAATTTTATATACGGGCTGATCCCTTCCGGACCGGAAAGCCAATATATTGACGCTACCCATGATCGATACTTAGTGTATGGTCAATCCATGATATAAGATACCTTTTTTACCACTTTACTAAGGCGGATAAATCCCGGCCCTCTAAAGGTTAAAGATATCAAGGTAACACTAAGGGCACTATCTGCCCCACAATTCATTTTATTGGAATTGGTAGTTTATAATAATATAAATAATATCGGAGATTCGAAACATCTCTGTTCGAATCCTGACTTATTAGTTTAGCGGAGACTCGAAACATTTCGGTTCGAATTCCGGCCTATTAGCGGAGACTCTCTGGCGAAAATAGAAATTAAAGAGTAAATAAAGTGTAAACGAAGAGTGACGTAAGTGTAAGTAAAGCGCTTACAAGGCGTAAATTGAAACATCGGAACATAAAGCAAGCGGGTGCGCTTGAAAATTTTGTGCTGTCTGAATACCTGGGTTGCGTTCCAAAACTCTACTAAACGGGTAAAGTAGCATTTAATTGACCAATAAGAACAAAGATAACTAGGATTTCTTTATCATGATTGGTCAATTAAATGTACTCTACCCATCGAGTAGAATTTTGGAACGCAGCCCAGGAAGGAGCATGTTGCGATATATCGTGGATAATCGTTTGTTGCATTGATTCTGTTTGATGACGTGCCATAAGTGACGTTACCAGAAACAGTCTGGTGATATACTTTAAATATCTTGGAAGTATATAGCAAAGGAATATCAATTTTAAAAGAATAATAAAAAAATTGTATTTATATTTTGCTAATATTGGTGAGGGAAATAAAATTAGTCACTTGTAATAATTTTCTCTTCAATATGTTTACGCACCTTTGTCTGTTCGATTAATTGACAATATTACGTCATAACATTTACTTTGATCCCATCGATAGTCGCATTTGGTTCATTTTCACAACGTCACATCTTTCGCTCTTCTAACAAAGGATTTTTTCTTTATACTCCTTCCTGATATTCTTTATTCTATGATTTGTATTTTCATCTCGTGAAAGCGCTTCGAAATCGGTGAACACGTTTGGATTCTGCAGATATAACACAACATTGTTTTTCTCTTTTCTCAAGGTGAATAAATCGTTTCTCATGTGTGCTTGGTTTTCTTTCTTTTTTATTTAGTATCGTAGCACATACTTTTCCAAAAATTCATAAGTACCATGTAGATAAAAAAGTACAAATATTTACAAAATACTGTAAAAAAGAAATCGGTCGATTTGGAACGCCTAAGGATATGAACGTCATTCAAATGAGCCTTCCGTACCGCTGTTCGCTTCTGTCACCGTATATGACTAGATGTATTAGACATAATAGGTAGCTTCACGAAACCCACCGACACGGCTGACACGACTATTCGGCCGCGCCATTTCGCGCTTTTCTCTCTCATTATTTATGGCAGTGATAGTAGTGGTGGTGGTAGTAGTCGCGTTTATGATGAATATTCTGAGCGAATGATATGAGCACATAGGACTTGGATAATTGGCCTTAACTTATCACGTACTCGTAGTGCGGGCTAGATCGCTGCAAGGTAATAGTCCTAGAGCGTAGTTTATGTTACAAGCAGCGATGGCTCATACTTGAATGCGCGTTATTCATATTGCTCGTGTTTCGCACTCGGATACGGTTTCCTTCTTATACGCGTCTTGGAGCCTTGACTTTTTGACACAATTCCTTGCAACGACACATCTCCCGTAAAAATCGCGCGAATTCCAACTGCTGCGAACGCGTCGTTCTCGCATGAATTCCTTCTCAGTAAACACCAACTATTGGTAACACATCAATTATAATTTCCCGCTTAACACTGTAAATTCGATATAGCACGTGTTTTATGCAATAGTTACATTGTCGAGTGGGAAATTGTAACATTCATGCAATGTTACTCTTAGGTAGTGTTTACTGACTTTATTCTTGCCATTAGAGTCCTATATAAATAGAGAAACGACATTAAGGGAAACTGATTGGCTAATTAAATCACGTGATTCAGAGCCATATTGTTTTCTACTGTTGTGAACAAATAAAAATTAATTATACAGTAGAACATATTCGTAGTTGACCTTACAGAAAAATATTTGCTGCAGCTTTAATATTGTAAGTTAAAATTATAAGCAAGCATTATTTATGTAAATTTTTATTTTATCCTATAACCTAAACTTATAACTTCTACCTATTATATATTTTCTTTTAATATAATCGAAGACTAGATCCTATCCGCCAGATCTGTCTCATATGGAGAAACAAGTTGGCGGTTTTTCGGTACATCGCACTTATCGATTCTCTATGTCGCTACTCTATTTATATAAAACTCTATTTATATAAAACTTGATTCTTTCTCTCTCAAGAATCTTTCCTCGAGATGAAATTCGGAGCGCTCGACGGATTTCGCTACCGCCGCCCAAGTATGCCCGCCATCGCTGATCACAAGAATATTTCTCGACGTATATTAGCGAACATTTAGGAAGCATTTTATATAAAATTCGCTCGCAGGGACGCCACGAGCTCCAGTGATCCGTTATTATCTTAAAAGATTACTCGAGAATTCGTGCTCTTACATATTCGTACTTGAGTAGAGCGCCCGCGAGGACACATCGTTGCGCTCGCAGATGGTGTGTTTTCGCGGTAGGTGCGTTGCGCTGCGCTCGGTACGACGAGAAGGTGCTTTAGATCGGAGAACAGTCGTACTTATCGTGATTATGACCCTTTTACATTACATAGATACGATTGGCAGTGTTACCTTAGTGCTTCGTGTATCTTATATTGCGTATATGATACATCATATTTATATCAATGCACAGAGCCGACGAACGTTTATTACTCGCTCGCTAAGAACTTCCCCTTCACCGCTTCGTCCTTCCCTCTGTTCTCTCTCCGGAGAAAACCTAAAAGAAACTACGGGCGACTGAATGTCTCTAAGCGATATCAGATCGACGCGCGCTTCTCCCTTTTCATCATCAACCGACCTTCAATTCGCGATCAATTTCGCGTTTCCGGATTTCTCGCTGAGAAGCGATCGAATCGTGCGATCGATTGTAAAATTCGCGGGTCGTTGCTCGCGAGCGTTTCTAACACAGCGTTCGATAAGGAGACCACTCGGCGCTCGTTGAAACCCGCTTTGATAAGGACCGACGAGACCTCTCGTCGCCGGTATACTTTTTGGTTTTAGGAGCCATAAGCGGTTTCGCGTTTGCACGGAATCTGCGGTCGAATCGCGTTTCCGACCAAGCCGAACTAATTCAGATACAATCTGTTTTTCGCGCGGCTCTGTGCGTGTAAATCCTTCGACAAACTATTTATAGTCGGTAAGTACTCGTGATACGTGCGCTCGACGCGGAATAAGTTACAGTTGACGCGCGATTGTTCTCTTCTTTTCTTCTTCGCTTCTTCTGTCGCAAGTGTCTCCCTCGCTGTCTATCTCGCCGAGAGATTCCTTCTTCGACGGCGGTTTCGTTGCCTTCGCGTGTCCAGTTCTCGAACAATCAACATATACGAGTCTTCTATCGAACGGAAGAAGCAAGGACGCAAGCGCATCGCAAAACTGTCTCGCGTGAGAATATTCCTTATCAAGTAGATTCGCTCAAATTGAACGCGGAAGTAATGGGGGGAGGACGATGTTATAGCTTATGTATCGTTAAAATACGAACGTTGCTCTTCGTTGTACGAGTCGGATAATGCGGAACAGTCGGAAATTACGTACATTCGGAATGTTCCTCTCTCTCTTTCTTTCTTTCTTTCCCTTTCTTTCTCATTGGACCATCGCGTTGAATAGATTGTTCGCGCTACTTATCAAACCGTGAGTAACCGCGGGTGCAAAAATATCGCGAGCGATACTTCGCCTGATCTGATCGAATCTAGATTTCCGTAATATGTAAAAATAGGCTTTCGAGTAGCAATCGTATAGTAACTGCGTTACTGCACATTTGGGTCGCATGCCCAACGTCTCTCGGGCAACTTCTCTCCGACACTAAAATACGACGAAATTCCTTCCGGCGGCGAAGAGAGTTATTTCAGAGCGGTTGGCGGGGTGAGAGAAGGGCGGGATTCGAATGATCACATTAATCAGAAATCAAACGCGACGATTCCACGCTAGTCTCTCTCGCGCTTAAAAAGAACTTACACTTATACCATCGGTATGTACAAGGCCGTCTCTCTTTAATCGGTACGAATGGTCGATCGCGTTCTTATCACACATAAATATACGTTATAAATAATCCTTACGTTTCTTCTTCTTCTTTTATAAATGTGTTCTTACCGGTTGTAGCGCGTGTGTTCGTGTACGAGTGTGTATGTATAGAAGTAAATAGGCGGTGATATAAGATTCCGTTCGTCGCTTGATATGGTCGTGATACTTTCTTAATACGCATGTCCGCATAATATGCATGTGCAATAGCAGCACCGGGCGCTCCCCGACTGCCGGTGACACTCGATCGCCGCTTGTCAAGATTTTGATCGACTCGATCGAATGTCCCCGCCGTCGGTTTCTTCCCTTCGGCTCACCTAACGATTAGAGTACCTTACGAGTATTCGATGTACGGTGATGATACCTATTATTATATCGATACTGTATACTAAGTATTGCATTAATTGCGTAATAACGTGTAAAATGGGCCCATGCAGATCGTTATTCTTAGTCCGACGATAAAACAGTCATTGTTGGAAGGGGAGACGGAGATGCTAGTTGAAATAAATAATGATTTCCTTGCCGAGTTCTTTCCTCTCTTTCTCTCCTCTCTTCTAATGGAAATGCCAAAGGATAATGTAACACGAATAATTATTGTGGAACCTAACGCGATTCTACCATATTTTGTCTATAAAAAGAAAAACAATAAATTAGAAAATGACAGAAGACCGAAATTCAAACGTTCCAATGATCGCGCTCGACTAAATCCGGGAAAACCGATGTTCATGCAACGAGAATAGAGCTTAAAATGGAAGAATGCTCCGAATGATACAATGATAATAAATAAAGTCTCTACAGCTCCGTGTGTAAAAAAAAAGAAATATATATATATATATATATGTATATATATATATGTGTGTGTGTGTATATATATAAAAAAAAATAGACTCCTCGTACGGTGGAGACGCCACTCACTTGATCACATGTAACGACGAGTATCGAACGGTATGCGCCAATAAGAGACGCACGTACACGCAACTTCATTAATATCCGAGCATTTACTAGATCTAAAATTACTACATATTTTGGGCTAGCCGTGTACCTTTCTACATATGCATTTTTCAGAACTGTCAAGTATCCCGAAGAATCGGGAACGGTAATCGAAAGCAGCCATAATGGTTTAGCAGTTTGAAGTTTACTTCGTGCAAGATTACGTTTCGTCCTCTCATACGAATAATCAATAGAAAAGCGATGCAATACAGTAAAAAACAGATTAAAAAAATCTGGATGTTTGCATAGTAGATAAGTTTTCCAAGAACCGTTATAAAAACAAAAAGAGTATGGGAATTAGAGAGTAAGTATATATCGCTCTCCTGCGTAATTATGCGTAACATGAGCGGATGAAAAATATTAACTTATGCGAATTAAACTTCAAATTGTCAATTACACCTGCTTTCGAATATCGTTTTCGACTCCTTTGATACTTTACAGTCAAGATGACTGCGTTTGTAGAAAGGAACACAGCTAATAAAAAATATCTAATAATTCTAGATCTAGTAAATGTTCAGGCACTAATAAAGCCGCGTGTAGAACATTTACCGTGCGCGCGCGAATTGAATTTCAACATGAAAGATCTCTATGTACACTCGAACATATAGTTGTTATATCATTCACTAAATCAATACTCACTAACAATTTCTAAACAGCTGCATCCGAACTACTCGTTTCTCATGACATTTGATTAATTAGCAAGCGGGAATGTGTCTACAGCCAATGACATTTTGACAGCTTGACGTTTCGAACACACGTTTGTAAAAAGATTTATTTATTTCCATATGACACGTAATCAATAAAAAAGTTTTAAGAAATGTATATACGGATCAAAGTCAGTTCTGACCATAACTAATTGCAATTATGCACCTTTATAAAATTAATTGTATAATTTTCTTACTTTCTCTCTCTCCTTCTCTCTCTCTTTCTTTCTTAAAACTCTTCCTCTATTATGTATCATATGAAAGCACATAATTTCTTTTAACGTGTATATCAAACATCAAGTTGTCAAAATGTCAAATTATTATTGGTTACAGATACATTCTCGCTTGCTAGATTAATCAACAGTCATGGAAAAGTAATTAGAGACAGATTTAGAAATTTTTAGTGAATATCGATCTAATGTGGTACAGCACCCACGTTCGAGTGTACATACACCGGGTGCAACTGTGGGATGCTTGAAATCCGCGCGTATAGTATGTACCGGCGACATCATTGAAACATATAATCGCCGAGTTCACTGATTAATGAGCAAGCATTTTCCATTTACACGAGAGTACGGTTCCCTACCGCGGATTCGTTACGCATACATGTATATATAATCGATATTCAAGCGTTTACATGAAGCCAGTTAATTATTCTCTTCCTCGCTTTCGCGCGGCCGTTTTTCTCTTCTGGACGATCTTCCACGACGAGGGGATTATCGCCGCACGACCATCGGCGCCCGTCAGCCTTACTTCTCGACATTCAGCTCAGCACAATCATTTCCCCTATTGCAATATCTCCGATACACTCAGAGCCTCGCTATGTGGCCGCTATGTGTGAAACAGCTTTATTACAGGCAGCTGTCAGCCACAATTTCGCCTATTTTTGAGACCACCTCGTCGAAGGTCGGTCTCTCGCGCGGGTCATTCGCCCAGCATTGAGCTTGGAGCTCTTGCAGGGTCGGCGGCGCCGCCTTGTGCGGCTTCCACGTGAGCGTTTGCGTCTTGAGCTGAGTCAGCACGGACTCGTCGTTCATCTTGTTGAAGGGCAGCTCGCCCTGATGGAACATCTCCCAGACAAGGCAGGAGAACGAGTATACGTCGCTCTTAGTGGAGTACTCGTCCTCGTACACGGCCTCGTAAGGTAGCCATCTGAGCGGGATGACTTGGTTCCGATGCTTCGTGTACTCTTGATGGTACGGCTCTTTGGTCATACACGGCAGTGAGATCTTGATCGTCAGATTACTGGCGATCAAACAATTACGCGCGGCTATGTCCTTGTGGACCAATCGGTTGTCGGCCAAGTGCTTCAGACCTTTCGCAGCCTGGTTCGAGAGCGCGAGGATCTGCGCCACCGACAGCTGAGGCGCGCGCGGTGGCTTCGACTCATGCGTCGGACTGGAATTGTTGTCCTTACGCGAGGCAATCAAGAATTGCTTCAGATCACCCCAGTCGGTGTACTCTAAGATCATATAGTCCGGCTCCTCTTCTCGACACAGTCCGATCAACTTGACGACGTTCTCGTGGTTGAGCTTGTGCAGGAGGTCCAGATGCCGCTTGAACTCCTGAAGAGCTGTCTCGTCCTTGGTGTTGGTGAGACTCTTCACCATCGCCAAGGATTCCTTGTCGCCATCTACCTGATACTTTGTAGCGTAAATCTCGCCGAATTCACCCCGGCCAAGAGGCTTCAGTTCTTTCAGATTGCTCCGTGACACAGCGATTTTATCGTAATTCGACTTGGACTTTTTGGACTGGTTGCTGCTTTGGCTCTGAGCGGTGTCCGCGCCGTCGCTCTTATTGTGAGAGTCGCGATTCTCCTTCTTCTTATTCGTTGAGTTCATCTTATTGCCGGTTTCCTTCAGCTCCGTTTGCTCCTCTTGCACGTCACCGTTCTCCAATTTTTCTGGAATACCAGAATGCAGACTTAGTTATGTGGCTCGACATGACGTTATATATTATCATGAACGTTAACGATCGTACCTTCTGTTTGTTCTTGCAAATATTGTTGCTTCCTGCGGCGACGTCGGTAACGACAGTACAACATGAGGCCGACGACGAGCACCATGTACGCCGCGGCTGCACTCAAAGTGATCGTCACCGTCTTAGTCATCATTGAGCCGTCATCGCCGGCCTCTAGATCCATATCGGGTCTGTAACTATCTGCAGCTGAAAAAAAATAAAAAAATATATAAAAGTAAATAATAAAAAAGTAGAAATCATTATTATTATCGTTATTATTCCATCATCTCGTAACAGACCGCTAAGACGATAATATGAATTAGTACCTTTCACATTCAACTGAACCTCTTCCCGCTTGAGACCGCCGCTATTGCCGGCGGTGCATCCGTATTTGCCCTCATCGCTGAGGTACACTTCCTTAATATACAGACTGCCGTTACTCAATACCTCGAATCGGGGATTGTCGAGATTGTTCATACGAGAGTCCTTGTCCCATTGAATAGTCGGTTTAGGATCTCCCTCGGCGGCGCAATGCAGCATCACCGGGTATCCCTCGATAGCCTCCGTCGGATTCTGCGGCTGTACCGTAAACTTAGGCGCAACTGCGAAAAGAGATAATCAAGAGCGCGCTAATTCGCTCCGTTCGCTCGCGCGAACATCCGCCGATACTCTATTCCGGATACTCACTGACTACATCGATAACGATCGTGTGATTGATGGACCCTTGAGCATTGCTCGCGACGCAAGTGTACCGACCCTTGTCCTCCTCCAGCACACCGTTGAAGTGCAGCGTCCCGTTGACATCCTGAACGTGCTTGGGAAATTCCTCATCCTCGCCCTCCTTGACCCACTTCACCGTCGGGTTCGTGGCGCCCTGCGCTTTGCATGATACCCTCGCCGTGGAGCCGAGCTCCAAACGTTTATTGACCGGCTGCGGCGAGAACTTGAGTTTCTCCTCGACCATGAGAAAGAGCGGTAGCGACATTATAGGGTTCGAGAATCCCGCTGTGAACACATGGCACGCGTAGAACCCCTTATCGGACAGATCGACGCTCTTGATGTGCAAGGTAGCATTGCCGTGATTGTCGGTCACGCGGTATCTCGTCGGACCGCCTGACTCCTTCAATGGTATGCCGTCCTTCAGCCAATGCACTTGAGTCACTGGCGGTTCCATGCCGGAATATGAACAGTTCAGCGTTTGTGAGTCACCTTCCATCACGCTCACCTTAGGATCAGGATCCTTAGCATCAACAAGGAATCTCGGGAAAGCTAAAAAGTTAAGTAAAGTTGACCGATCGTGTTTTTGGACGATTATTTTTTCAATTTTGTTCTCAGTCGCGTTCAATATAAACGACTATCGCGTTCAATCGCGTGCCTAACTTTCGGTAGGATGATCGTCAACTTACTAGATATGACTATTTGGACGGATATATCCGTTTCACCAGCGAGATTCTCGGCTACGCAGGTGTAATTGCCGTCATCCTCGTTCATTCGTGCCTGTGCGATAATGAGCGTATCGTCTTGAACACGCACGGGACCGGTGTCGCTTATTATGTGTCCCCTGGGATCCCGCCAGTAAAGCTTGGGTCGCGGTAAGCCTAGCGGTGCTAGACAGCTTAGCTGGAACTCTTTTTCCTCGCCGACGTATGTCAGCTGAGATGAAAGTTTCGGTTCGAAGGCGGCCATCGAGAAGTTCAACAAATCTGAAAGATTTTATTTGCGCATCTTCGAATCTATATACGAACTTCTCCGCTTTGTGCATCAAAGTTGTATCGATTGTGTAAAATTGTCTTGACTCATTTTATGAAATTTAAAGATTTCTGTGATCTCTCACACACAACACGACACATATTTCTTAATATATATAAGAAATAATATATCAAAGTAGCATGTGTGTGTGTGTAATTTAATTAATCCCTAAGACACGACATAATAAGAATATATAATAAACATATCTAAAAATATACTAATATATATATATATATATATATATATATATATATATATATA